TGATCTGGAGTTGCAACCGGCTGCCCCTCAACATTTGCTGCTTGCAGCATCAGCAGCTGCTGCTGCTGCTGCATAGCTGCAATACTACCATTATTAAAATCCGTTTCATCGGTTTCACGGCCGCCCATAGTCGCTTCCTGCTTCACGACAACATTTACTGGTTGCTGCATTACAGCTACACTGCTACCATTACTAAGATTCTTTTTCAGCGTGCCTTGAATGGCATTCTCGTCAGTTCGATTTGGTTCTGGACGAGAGCTGCCAGCTGTCTGATTCATACCATCAAACTGCTCGAAGACGTTAGCTTTCTTTGGCTTCCGGACTTCTGGGCCACTGTTTATGTTTCTACGCTGATCTCCTTCCACTTCTGCTCTCATAATTTTTACCGCTCTATTACGCCCCTGCGCAGCAGCTGCTCTTAGATCAGCTACAACAGCTTTAGTGGCAGCAATTCTCGGTTCCTTAGAATTTGCCTTTGGTATCACTGAACCATCTTTCGGAGTAACTCTTTTGCGCTTAGTGGCACCTGTGGCCGACAGTGCAGCTGCTCTTTTCGCTGACATATCAGCAAGATCGCGCAGTATCGGGTCCATAGCTAAGTCATCTCTGAACACTCTGGTGCTGCTAGAAGCCTCTGAAATGGTTCTCTTCTTTTGTGAGCTGTAAGAACAAAAAATTATATTCAAAACAAGAAATACAAAAATTTGCAAACAAAATGTATGAACAGACATCCGCAACACAAAAAATGATTTTCGAGAAGCTAGACCCGAAAAACAATAATTAACCAACGCGCCAATTGCCGGTGCGAAGATGTGTTTTTTTTTTGCACAGTTCCCGCAGTTTTTGTCGCTACCAACACCAGTTTTTCCGGCAAATGCTTCCAGCTAAAAGAATTGAGACTGACGGACAGGACCGTCAGGAAGTATCCGTTTAAAATTTCAGCTTTCTAGCTTTCCTGGTTCCCGAGTTAGTAACTTACCCGCAAAAAACTTCCACGGGTTCGTACATAGGAACCACTCATAACCGGGGGGTTAGGTTTGAACTCGTTAGGACCAACGTGGACGGCCAACATTCTTTTAAAATTCCAGCTTTCTAGCTTTTCTGGTTTCCGAGTTAGCGACTAACAAACAAAAAACTTTCACGGGCTCGCACGTGGGTACTACGCGAGTAAGACGCCCATTTTGGGGATGGGAGCCCGTACATGCATGTAAGTTTCAGCCCTGCAGCTTCTGTAGGTCTCGAGATGAAAAACTAGTACAGACGCCCAGCGCAAAAACAAACACAGACACACACACAGAGAGAAACAACCTCTCGTCAGTATGCGTTTTCTGCATCGCATACATGCAAAAACGCACAAAAACCGATACAAACACCAGAAAAAACCAACAATCGAGATGTGATACATGGAATGTGAAAGCTAACCACTCGAAATGCTTGGCGCCCTGGACGACTCCGATCTTGCAGCGTTGCCTATCGGCACTTGTGGGAGCTTGCCCATCGCTGCTGTACGGGCTGCAGGTGGTGGCGGTGGTGGGGGTGGTGGTGGTGGAGGTGGTGGTGGAGGCGGTGGCGGTGGTGGCGGGAGCACTCCTGGCATTTCGGCATTGGGTACCATTTGCTCGCTGAAAATAACGTCAATTTGCAACAGCTACAGCACACCTGAGCGAAAACCGTTTGCAAAAATTTACAGAAAAGAAACAAAAAAAATGCTAATTCATGATTTCCCTCCTCCTGCTAAAGAAACTACCTGCCTGTTAAAACAAAAAAAAAAATTAACAACAGCTATCGCCTCAGTAAAGTCTGCAATGCTTGTAATGTCTTATCAAAAAAAAAAAAAAATTTCCAATATATTTGTTAAAACCTGATCGCAAAACCACAGGTAATGTAATAAATGTGAAAACTGTAAAAATATCATTCCATGCTTCTGACAACTGAAAACTGATGGTGAGATTTTATGCCTGTCTGGTAAGATTTTGTATTTCTCCTTAATAAATTTTGCGCCCCCTCATCCATTTCTTCATACATTCCCAGATCTTACAATTCTAGACTCCTATCCAGCACAAAACAGCAGCACCAAGTCATCAGTAGACGGAATAACGGTGCCGATCCCTCTCCAAAACCAACTATATTTTGCGTAAATAATGAATCCAAAGCGAAACTAACCTCGAAATGGATGGAGGAAAAGAGTACATAGCATAATTGTTTTGTGCCCAAGCTGTCGGTTGGAAAACTCCGGAAGGGATCATCGGGAAGTGCTGCTGCATCGGCGGCATATTTGAAAACAGAGGCGGCATCTGAGAAGGAAGCGCGGTGTTCCCTGCAATTTTCTGTGCTGCTAAAACAACTACACGGATCAAAGTACCGTATTTGAACAGCAAGACCGATAGGTGCTCATTAATTTCGCTAGCTGTGAAAAAAAGAAGAAATAAACATCGCGCAATTGGCGTTAGCCACAAAATTCTCTTGTAGGCACAGTCTATTAATTCCTACGAGAAATGGGCCATGCTGAGCAATTTTCTGGCATATCAAAGCAGAAACGCTATTTTATTATTACTCCAACGGCAAAAGCCTTTGATGCAAAATACGAAACTTTTTAAAAGGCTTATATATTCTGGAAAGCCTATCTTTTACTGATAAGTTTTTCGGAAGACCTGTTCTATTTCTTCTGCTTCCCATCGTCTCGAACTACGCACAGATTTAGGGAGCTAACAGAAAAGCAAACCTGGATATGCACCCACTGCTGCATTGTTGGTATAAGTTGGATTGCACAAATTTACTGTCGGTAGCACCAGAATTCGATCATCGTCGCCCTCTGGTACTGCTGCTGCTGCAGGTTCAGCGGCTTCTGCGGCAGCTGGCGCTAGGTTTGCCATGAAATTGATGTTGGATGGATTGTCGGTCGCTATCGGCGATGGACTCCTAGAATCTGGCGAATTCGGCGGATATGGCGGAGTGTGTGGCCCACGTCGCACAGACCTGAATTCAATTGTTTTTTTTTTTTAATTTCAATTAATTCATTTTTTACTTTTCTGTATATCTATGAGTGTGGAAAACTCGCTGACCTTCCCGAAGGAATTGGACCGGGCGAAATGCCTGGCGCACCACTCAACGCATCATTTGACGAAGGATGTCGGCTGAGCTGCAATAAAGCCAGAAATGAAGTACGATGTGAATTCTATCATGTAGACGAGTAAAAGAGATGTTTTTTACTTTTTTTAAGTTCACCACTTCATTTCACAAAATCGCCTCTTCTGTCTTATTTCAACGTTGTCTAGCACAATTTTTGAGGAGACAGAGAGAGAGCAGA